TTGAAAAGCCCATCTCAAAAAAAGCTTAGATGCTCTTCATGGAGTGCTTATATAAACATGATCTGAAAAGTCCTGAATTGTGTGCTAAATAACCATAAAAATCAGCTAAATATCAGAAAAAGTTAAGTAGGGGATAGAATGCAGGATGCAAAAGAAAATAAAGGAAAAGAAAAAGGAAAAGAAAAGAAAAGAATAAAGAAAGCTGTAAGCAACAAATTAAATAAAAACTAAAAAACAACCCTTCCCCCCTTGTTCTAGTATCTGGATTAGTTAAAAAGAGAAATTCTACTGAGCTTGAATGCTGACTGAACTATCATTAGATGTGAAATGCAACCTAAATCGTATTAGGTTACCTTGGGGTTGTGTTTTTTTCCTCTCACCACAAACATGGATCCTTCATTCATGTGGATATTTGGGCAGACTACTGAGGCTGTAAAATCTAGACACCACTTTTGCAATATAATTACTTAAACACACTTCTTTCCTTACTTCTCCCTTTCCCCAATAAACAGATCTTGAATATCTTAAACTAGTTGCTGCAACGACATCCAGTCGTTAGTTAGCACATGATCAAATCTGTAAAAGGTTTTAAGAATACAAAGAAACTTTGTTAAAATGAGGCATCCTCTATTGTTTTATGTAATGTACCCTGACTGCTCCTGAGTAAGAACGGAGCTCGTCCTCCATGAGATAAGGCTATATCCTCACTTGTTGGTGAGACCAAATTCTACCCTTAGAAAATACCAAATAAAATTACAGCAAAGGTAGTGTTACAAAGTAATTAACCAAAGCATTTCTGAAGGTAGTGTGTGCACATTTTCCACCTCCTTTCCCTCTGGGTGAGCACTAAACAGATTGCTGATTTGTTAAGTAAATTTAATAGTGAGAAGAAAATCATAAAATGTAAATTGACCTGAATAATTACATATCACTGAATAACCAAATTTCCTAAATTCAAAGGTTCATTGTTCCTAGGATTTTTTTTCTTTAGTTTAATCCTTCAATTAGTTGAAATGTAGAAGAGAAACATGAATGATTTTATAAGATGGCTTTCCAATTTGTAATGATAAAGCTCCCAGTATGACAGAGGTGGTTTCTAGAAGGGGGCTTTTTTCTTTTCTTTTCTTTTTTAAATAAAGGCAAATATAACTTAAGAAAAAAAAGAAAGAAAAGCATGCAGGCTCTACAGGCAAGGAGTCCACTTCCATGTATCTGTTCTCTGTGAGGTAACTCAATTCTCTTTTGTAGAGAAACATGCAAAAAGGCCAAACAATATCCCGAGCCATACTGCACATGAAAATTTTAAAATATGCAACATTCAGAATGCACCTTTCACCTCTGTACACACAAGTCAATGCAAAATCTGCAAAGAAACAAGTGTCACAGTAAATGGAGTCAGGTGTAAGCAATGATAGCTGAACAATGCAGTAGTGCTCACCCAGTCTGTACAGTAATTGGCACTCTACAGTATTCCTACTCATTTTTTGATTCATTTGCACTTTGTGCTGCCTCTCCCTGGGGATCTAATTCAATCTTTACAGAAACATCTGGCCCCTCCGACCTCATTAATTTCATCTTTTTCTTTGGAGGGTTTTTCAAAGTGCCCAGCCTCTCCTTTACTTTGTACTCCAGTGTACTGTGGGGAATCCCATAAATACTCTGAGCTTTGGAAACACTCATTTTTCCACTCATAACCACTGAGATTGCTTCCTCCAGTATCTCACTGTTGTACTGTCTGTAACGCCCTCTTTTCTTCCGAGGCTGCTTGGAGCCAGGGTCTCCTTCTTGATCCGATGTGGGATATGGCTGTCCAGAGGTAGACTGCTCAGCATCTGAGCCCCAAGAATCGGGTCCAGCATCTAACATGCTTTTTCTATTTTGTTTTGGAAGAATAGCCCTTAACTTTTTACTAAGCGCGCTCTCCGTTTGTGAACCCATTACCAAAGAGCTATAGCTGTACTGATCACCAGTGCGAGATTCCCAAGAAAGATCCATTCCTCGAACTTGTGGTATCTTTAAGTCTACAGGAGATGCATGGCTCGCATCCTTTTTTCCATCTTGTTTTGCTTGAAGTGCCATTTTTGGAAAGGCAGAGTTTTCTGCAAGAAAAGGAAGGTCACTGATGTTGCTGAGTGCACCATTTCCCCTGAACTTCATACGGCTGAGGTTGAACTCATAATGTGGTTTTGCCCAAGAGGCTTCCCTGGATAATATTAAGTGTTGTCCATGATTCTGTAATCCAGATGGCCCAAGGCTGGCAGCTGTGGACAATTGGTTTCTGCTCAGTAGTTCTTCACTAATCTGCAGGGATCGAGCCAATGGAACTTTGAGTGATGTGGAGTGTCCAAAACCTTCCCTGGTTCCATCCTGTAAGCTTCTTGGAGGTACCCCATCACCACTCCGAAGTCCGTCTGGGCGGTACTGGCTGGGTCTCCCAGGTCGCCTAATTGGATGGAAGGAAACTGATGTGAGCAGGACTTGCACAGGTAGGGAGGGATGGGTGAGGGGACCACTCCTTTATTAGAAGGCCTTGCTTGGGTAACATCACTTTGTGTTATTTATTTATTTTTCTCTAAAATTAAAAAAAAAGTGGTCTCGGCAGTTAGTTTTAGAACTTGTTCACAAAAAAAGAAAAAGGAAAAAAGAAAAAAAAAAAACCAGGAGCTTTTTGGGCAAAGAAAAATTAAACCTGTCAGCTGGTCTCTGGTTGGGTTCACAAATTTTCGGAGAAAAAGTTTCGCGCAACTGTCTGAAAATAGCACCTTAATTATTAATTACAAAGTAATCATCAAGTCTCCATAGATCTACACAGAATTGTGTTACCAATGTGACGTTACCACTAAACAAGTACAGTAATAAAAGAGTAAGCCAAATTATTTATTTTAATGTAACATATTCAACATTCATGACAACCAGCTATAAAACTGGAACGATTTACAGTGGTGGAACCCATAGATAATTACTCATTTATCCCACAAACAAGTTGATGTTCATTATCAAAACCAAACAAGTTCAAATAACATTTCTTATTTTGCTTGGGGAAAAAAAAAGTATGGCTACCAGCCCCAAGGGGAAAACCCAAACCAAAACAAACCAAAATACCCATCGCATTATAACTTACCACACTTCTTCATTTTAAAACACTATTAGTTGCAGACACATGAGTACCACTAATTTTCCACTTGAAATAATCCAATCTTTAAAGAAACTGCCCTTTATTTTCCCCAAACTTTGTTCCTTAAGTTCTACTCAAAGTTATTACTGTCAGAGGTATGTAAGCAATTTGTAGCAGTTTTCTTTAATTAAAAGTGTCTCTTCTTAAAATATCAAATATAAATTTTGAAATTTTAAGTGGATAGCTCTCAAATAATGTTTAAAAAGTCAACTATTTACACAAAGTTAATTCATAAGGTTTCCATTTTCACAATAAATATTATCAATGATAAAACTGGTAACTGGTAAAGCATGCCCAAGGGTAGTAATTACATTTACTAGGCACAAAAGTGGAACTTCGAAGAAATAATGATAAACCAGCTATGTTCTCCAAAAGTCTACAGGGATTCTGTGCTATTATCAGTAAATAACATAATAAAGATAATAATTAATAATCAACTAAAAGATGGGCAGTCTTATCAGTGCTTTTGTCTTCCAGAAAATCATACACATAAAAAACATTTTCTTTCCATTCAGAGGGGTCAACCACAGCAACTTCAACCATATTATACATGGACTGGGTGGCCAAGTTTAAACTAAATCTTAAACAAGGGATTCATTTATGCAAACCACACTTAGGCTTCTCCTACATGTGTTCTTAATTACACAATTCAAGTTTTCTGATATATAAATGGAATCCAATGATTTGGGACCACAATGACTTGTATCTAATATAAACTATAGTGAAAAGAAGGGCTTAAGAAAAAAAGATTGGTAAATTATGCAAACTGCATTAAATCAATAAGTTACTTTTAGACTGAATAAAGGAGGAGAGAAAAAGGAAAGTGATGGAATTTTAGAGAAAATAAAGGCAGCATTTTAGAAGTCAGCAAAGGAATTCTTCAATTTGAAGGTAATTAAGAGTAAGTTGAAAAAGGTTAGTCCATTTAGTGTGTACTTATTTCTTTAACATCTAAACAACTTCCCTATGTTGGTATTCTAAAAGTTAAATGAACCTACATATTAACTAATTTAACTTACCAAAGTTACTTTTCATATATGAAGTTGATTTTTGGTTACAACACAATTTTATGGACATCCTTCCCAATATGGTATTTAAATGTCTTCATTAATACCTGACTTTTGTAAGTGGCTTATTTGTACATGTAGAGGGAGAATTACGACAATTCTTACACTATAAAATTAGGTGGTCAGAAAATTCACTTTACTTTGCTAAGAGTTATCAAAACTGAGCATGTAATAATAATGTCTTGGTAGCATAAGATGATTATCCCAACATCTATAGTCTTAACCACTTAAAAAACAAAAAATACATACAATTACATTTTCTGAACTGCCACACAGAGTTAAAACTGCAGTTCAAATCAACAAATGAAACCAAACCAAACCAAAACAAACAAGAAAAAAATGAACAGCCTCCACATACCCACACACTCCATTAGAGATGCCAAGTTAAGTACTGGAGCCCAATTTTTATTCAACAACTTCAGCACACATAATACTGCCTTACATCTGAACCCTGGAATTATTTAGGTTAGGTTTCCCCCTCTCAAACACTCAACAACAAAAAGGCCAAAGACATTCTTGCCATATTTTCATTCACTCACTATCTGTAGTGATCTGGCAAAACTGATCTACACTAGTCAATTCTGGACTTCACAAATTGTGTTTTTACTTGAGAGATGGACTAAGTAACTTACTAAAGGCCCACTTACAAGACTGTTACTCTGAAGATTTTTTTAAAAAACATATAATGGAGATTTGTACCAATCTTTGATCAATTGTCCCCTATAAAACTGTGGAAGGCTACAAATATTTTCCCTTACCCGTTCCCTTGAGTACTGGAGCAGCCTGGAGAATGGCTCAGGGATGTGCTGCCAGCACACGGACTTTTCTTAGTGGACAGATCAAGTACACCGTCTGTAGAGACACAAACAAACACCTGAGGATATTAAAAACTAGGAACAAATGTGGACTGAATAGACCAAAAGTGACAAAGCAATAGGCCCAGTCAACCATGCAGATACACTAGCCATATATGTGAGTTATGAAGTCAATTCGTTAATAGAAGAATCAGGATTATTTTCCCTCCTAAAGTGACATACATTTAGCACAGCTTGTTATATCTAATATCTCCAAGGGTTAAATATTTTATCAGTAGGGCAAAAGGTACAGCATATCACTGAAGATGTTAGGATATAGTGAGATATTAGAAATCGCAGTTTACACAGTATGAAGTTCTGTAATAGAACTATTAGACTCCATTTTCTAAATTTACCTTTATCAAAGCACGTGAGTTTTTAATGCCACATCATACAAATTATAAAACCAAATTCCTCAAGAGCTAAGTCTACCTGAAACACTATAAGTACATAAAAGTTGGATTTAGAAATTTTTATATAACACAAATCATTTTAAAATGTTTATATGGTTAAATTACATGTATATACAAAATAGTCCGTAAAGTGAATCAGATGTTAACTGTTTATAATTTTCATGTGGCCTAATTACTCTTCAGACATATCTGCAAAAAAATGTGTATCTGGATTCAATCTTTTGGAAAAAATCTGCAGAGATTCAAAATTCCCTTCTTGGTATCTATAAAGGCAAGGTTTTTCAATTAATAAGCTATTACAAACTAATGAGCAAAGTTTAGGGAAAGAAAGAAGAAATAGTCTTGATACTGATGACAGCCCACATGTTTAGTCATTTTTTTTTACGGAAGCTAGACCAAATAACAAATTCATACTATTAAAACATAAAATTAGAAGACCTTCTTTTCCCACAAAGACTTTGTTCCCTCATAGACATGTCTAAAAAGGAAAACTCCTCATCTGGACAACTTTTAAAGCTGCCATTCTGTCCAAAATTAACAAAGCAAGCTAATATTCCATGCGGATGCCTCTGCTTTTTAGTTGGTCAGCAGAGAGGACTTTCTATCTAGTTATGTTAAAAACTGCCCCAATATAGAACCTACATACGACTTGTGTCTGAAGACACTATCATTCCTGATTTCATGCTGTTAGAAATAAATGTGACTGAGTTTGTAAACCAAAAATCCCACACTCATACAAAGTAAGTGTTGTCCTTTAGAGTCACTAATATTTCTAAAAATATAACTGTAATCTTATAGAACGAAGTGTCCTATTAAGAATCTTAACCCAATTAGACATCTATTAAGCAAATACACTGCTTAAAATAGTTCCAACCAAAGACACCATTATTTAAAGACTTCCAAATCTGTCTAATCAAACAGGCAATATATTTTAAGTCTACTTAAATATACTAAATATACTGTGATTTCATTGGAAACACATGAAAATTCATTTGGGAAATACCATTTTAAAAAATTTTGTTTCACTTAAAGACTAAACACTGTAATCCCATCATCTAGCTTAAATTTCTGTTGACAAGAGCATACCGTCGGTACAACATATCTCTTAAGCATAGCACCAACTAGGAGTTAAATTAGACTAAGTGGCATCTTTATACGTTAATCTCCACTATTAATACTTTAAATACAACCTCTATGCTGTCATTCTCCTATTGTAAAACTGAAGTTTTTAATGCAATATTTTGAGCGAGGAGTTTTTTAATGAAAGCTACCAATCTTTGGTAAAGATAAACCTCAACAAAAAGAAAAAGCACAGAAAAGCACAATTTTGCTTTTGGTAACCGAAAGTAAAAGTACACTGATCGATGTGAACATATAACAATGAGGAGTTCTACTAGGAAATCTCAGAATTCTGAGATTGTGATTGTTATTCATTACCCAGAGAAACAGGAAAAAAGCAAGAACTACTATTCAAAAATACATTTTTTAATAAACAACTAAAGCCAGTCCATTAAGTATAAATTCCTCTTAAATTACTTAAAATAAGCAAAAGAAGTCCTTTCAAAGAGTTCTTCATACAAATTAAACTTTTTGCAAAATGAACCTGTATTTCTCACCAATAAATCTACACATCTCATAACTTTCTGTACACTCTTACAAGATTTCTATGACAAGGAATCTCATTAGAACAGACATCACCAATTTACAATCTGTAATGGGTCAAGCAATGTCAGAATTGAAATGCTCACTTCATCTTTGTGAAATTAAAGGTAAAATGAGATCACAAAGCAACAAAAATATTTAATCTATTTAAGACAGTAGACTTTTCATAAATTCAAGAAATATGTGCTAAGCAAAACTGATAACCTCTTAAACCTTTTCCCTTCATCCAAAAATTAAAATTACCTTTTGGAAATATTCTAAGATTAGTTCATATTATAGCATATACACATATGGATGTGTTTGTGTATTTATAAAATACTGAATACACTGAACCACCTGGTGTGTCTAACGTCTTCCTCATTATAACTAACCCCAGGAGTTTCTTTTTTAAAAATGCAAACAATACACATTCTTGCCTTATAATTTCATTTGCAGAGTATAACTGCTACCTAATAAGACATATTTATTTCTCAGATAGGTGCTAATTCTAGAACACTGGTGGACAGAGGGAAAACTTAATTTTTCATAGGGCTTTTAAAAACAATGGCTATGGCAAAGTCTTGGAAAGTATAAAATATTTATATAAATATCAAGTAAATTAAAGATCAGTAACAACTGTATCCACCTAAATTTCCTGGGTGGTACATTAATCGTAACTATGAACTATTGATACATAAGGTAGCCATTTTATCTGTACTTCTTCTCTATCACTGCAGAGTCAGGAATAATTTAAGAATCACATTAGTTTTTATCCTATTATTGTTACTGGTGCCCTACTTGCCAATAATTTTTTTTCTCCCCAAATTAAAGTATTCTGATTGGACAGAGGAGACCTTGACATCAAACCATACCTTGTTCGCTAGGTTCTGACTGAGACTTTCTGACAGTAAGGTCCAGAGGTGAGTCTTGGTCAGCCATGAGAAGTTTGCTGAGCACAGGGTTCTGAGTAGTTGCAGCCGTGGGAGAGGTGGTGACTGGAGATGCTTTCGGCAGGCTTTGGTTCTTTGTGCTATTGGGCTGGCTGGGGTCCTGAGTAGAGCTATTTTTTGAGGTATATTCAGCAGCAAATTGTTGGATCATTCGCTGCATGATCTCACGGGCCACTAGGGGAATATTGGGGTCGGAGACCCAGGGACTGTCTGTAAACAAAGATTTATTTACTTTTAAATTGGGACAATGTACTAAAAAAAAAAAAAAAAAAGACAGCTTTCAAGCAAACATAAAATTTCATTTTATCTTTTTTCTTATAATGCAATATCTTAAAAGTAGTATTCCCTCTCAGAATTGTATTTTTAATCTCTAAACTTGAGTTCCAGATTTTTAAAAATAAAATTTTCATAAAATCATTTCTAAACACCATCCCCTCAATATTATGAAATTAAATAAAGGGATAACAAATAGTATATCTTACGGGCAAGAATCACTTACCTGATACAGAAATCTCAAACTCTTCTTTTATGAAATAATTACCCCCCTGTTTACCACCTATAGATCATTTCTGGTTTCTCCTAGACCTTTCCTCCTCAGCTACCTCTTCCTAAATTATTGAAGAATGGATTACTTACTTAGTTCATGAGTGCTTAATTTACTTTCTGTTAAAGACTGAAGGCATATCAAAATTACAAAAGGAGATATTTAATATAAGATCCATGATAGACTGGGGCAACAGCCTCCCATTTTCAGGCTTATCAGAATCACTTTTGAGTGCTTATAAAAACAGACTGCTGGGTCCTATCCCCAGAGTCACTCATTCAGCAGTTCTAGGGTGAGCTCAAGGACTGGCATTTCTAGGAAGTTTTTAGATGAAGCTGGCCGAGGGACCATAATTTTAGAGCCCCTAGGCCAGGAGTTTAAATGCCGTATCTCAAAAGCTTAAGCCCATATATTTTCCATGAGTTCTTTAAATACACTCTACCAATCATTAAACATAGTAGCTACGGAAGTAATGAAATAAACACCTAAGTTATCAATTTCTAATCAATGTTAATTTTAAAACATATGAATTCATTAACTCAAAGAACTTTTAGCACTGGAAGGGACCTTGAGGGTCAAATGGGGGAAAATAAAAGGGAAATGTTAGGTATAAATATGTCATCACACCTCCACCGTTACCACACTCTCAGGGAGGCTAAGCTTCTCAAGAGCAGAGATTATGTTTGTTTACCTCTGTATACTCAGCACCTAATCTTGCCTGGCATAAAGGATGCATTCATATTAGATGAGTAATAAATGGATCAGTTAAATCAATCGATACTCATCAAGTTTTTTCTTTAGACAAATGAGGTTAATGTGTCTAAAGAATAAGTGGCCTCTTCAAATCTGTATAGATGGTTAGTGGTAGAACCCTGATTAAAACTCTCCCTGTGGAGCGCCTGGGTGGCTCAGTCGTTAAGCGTCTGCCTTCGGCTCAGGTCATGATCCCAGGGTCCTGGGATCGAGCCCCACACTGGGCTCCCTGCTCGTTGGGGAGCCTGCTTCTCCCTCTCCCACTCCCCCTGCTGTGTTCCCTCTCTCGCTGTGTCTCTGTCAAAATAAATAAATAAAATCTTAAAAAAATAAAAATAAATAAATCTCTCCCCGTGCTCTTAATATTCCTCCACTTGTGACCTTTACTTCACCACACTTCAGAGATTTTAGAAGACAGTTCTCAGAAAACCTGAGGTTCCTTGGTCTTTTAAAGATTTAGCTATAGAAGGTAAATTACCCATAATACAGTTGGAGCTGGAAGGGAATTAGGTTGGTTTATAAATTTAGATTACTATTAAAATCTAAAATCTCCACAGTAAACACACATACACATAATCATCAAAACCTCATGGGACTCCTAAGAACAATTTTTTTTTTCCTGAAAGATAACCTTCAATACCAGAAGATAACCTAAAGTCAGAATATTTAATTCTCTGAAGTCTAATAAGGTTTGCTTTAACAGCAACATTTCTGTTCTACTAACAAGTTATTTCTAACCTGACATTTCTTCTCTATAGAGTATGCTAGATGGTTTAAGAATTAAGGTGTTCAATTAGGTAAGGTTCAGAAATTACTGCAACCACTGACAAGTTCCTTAAATGTTAATAAACATTTTAGCCACACACTGCTTTTTTGAAATCTCTCTACCCACTGAATATTCTTATTAATATTCATTTAACTTTCCACTTCAGATCCATCCTCCAAATGAAAGACTGCATATAATTTCAAGTTTTAATATATTAGTGTATCTTCTTATCCCCAGTAACTCATAAAGAAGAACGTTTCCAAGTAGGAAGCAAAATGAATTTATGAGATGTCTGTGTTTAATTAGATTCATAAATATAATTAAAGAGATTTGTGAAGAGTCAGAGATTTTAGGATAAAGACCATAAATTGCTACCTCTGAGCTTTAAATGCCTGCAGTCTTGCCTCTTTTTTGAACGAAGAACGTAATCATAAAACACAATTCATATTCACAAATTGATGACATCTCTACCATTTGAATTTCTACATCTTTTGAAGTTTCCTGAACACATTTCGTTCTTTCACTTACTTAAAACACAACTTCTACAAACTTAGATATGCCTTGGAGAACAAGCACAACGGAGTCAAATAAAAACAACTAATCAAATCAAAATTAAAACTACAGGAAAACAAGTAAATGCTACATCACCAGCCACCTGTGTGTTTTTAAAAATGCAAATCTGGGGCGTCTGGGTGGTTCAGTCAGTTGAGCATCCAACTCTTGGTTTCAGCTCAGATTGTGATCTCAGGGTCATGAGATTGAGCCCTGAGTCAGGTCCACGCTCAGCGTGGAGTCTGCTTGGGATTCTCTCCTTCTCCCTCTCCCTCTGCCTTTCCCCTCCATTCTCGTGCACGTGTGCACGCATGCTCTCTCTCAAAATCTTAAATTTATTCTTTTAAATATTTTATTTATTTATTTGAGAGAGTGAGAATGAGAGAGAGAGAGAGAGAGCGCGCGCACGCACATGGGGGGGAGGGTCAGAGGGAGAAGCAGACTCCCCGCTGAGCAGGGAGTCAGATGCGGGACTCGATCCTGGGACTCCAGGATCATGACCTGAGCCGAAGGCAGTCGCTTAACCAACTGAGCCACCCAGGCGCCCTCAAAATCTTAAATTTAAAAATAAAGAAATTTTTTTAAAAAAATCCAACTTTCAGGAAAGTATCAAATTTTCTAACAGAAGTGACAAAGCAAGCTGAAAGAATATGATAATGACAGTTGTAGAAGGTACACTGTTTGTAAGCTGCAATTTATTATAGAGTCCATATCACAAAAGCTTACTTTAATTGCATCTATGTCCCTACTTAGCTTATAGTACCTTTCATAATTATTTAAAACATAAAATTTTCGGGGTGCCCAGGTGGCTCAGTCAGTTAAGCATCTGACTCTTGATTTCAGCTCAAGTCATGATCTCACTGATCTTAAGCCAGGCATGAAGGCTGTTTAAGATTCTCTCTCTCCCTCTGCCCTGCCCCCCAAAACAAAAAACATTCATTTGCAATACTCAGTAACAACAAATCCAAATCTCTGAGCTATTTATTAAAAAAAAATCCCCTTCAGACTAAATTCCCTGTCGTATCTCTTCATGTTACACATTTTTGGTATAACCTGAAGAGTACTAATGGTCACTGTTAAGACATTTTCATGAAGATTAATACAATATCTCAAAATAATGATATTAATGCATAAAACGAGGAGGAAGGAACTTCCAATAACAAAGCAATAGTTCTTTTTTCTGAGCATCATATGCCAGTATACAAAAATACACAAATTTAACTTTACATACATTTCAGAGTATTCTCATCTCTTGAAGTCTACCCTAAGACTGATTTGGAGGTAAAAATTCCCTCATGTGCCCAAAAGTTTGTTTAAATAAGAAAACTTTTAAGAACTTTAAGTTATTCCTACATGACAAACGGACAGGACTAGTAGACAAAGCGGCTACAATTCTCTTTAGGAATATGCTTATGATTGACCTTATTAACTCCCTGTAAGCAAAGAGTAGATGAAAATTCTTTCTCCATGTATATTAGGGAGAGACTCATGACTCAGTACACATTCTAAAGTAGAGAACAGCAGAAGAGCTGTAAAGATATTTTATTTTGTTAATAAACTGACAGAACTGGGCGCCTGGGTGGCTCAGTTGTCAGGCGTCTGCCTTCAGCTCGGGTCATGATCTCTGGGTCCTGGGATCAAGCCCCGCATTGGGCTCCCTGCTCAGCGGGAGGCCTGCTTCTCCCTCTCCCACTCCCCCTGCCTGTGTTCCCTCTCTTGCTGTCTCTCTGTCAAACAAATAAAAATTTAAAAAAACAAAAAACAAGGGGCACCTGGGTGGCTCAGTGGTTAAGCATCTGCCTTCGGCTCAGGTCATGATCCCAGGGTCCTGGGATTGAGCCCCACATCGGGCTCCCTGCTCCATGGGAAGCCTGCTTCTTCCTCTCCCACTCCCTCTGCATGTGTTCCCTCTCTCGTCAAATGAATAAATAAAATCTTTAAAAAAAAAAAAGCTTTAAAAAAAAAACTGACAGAACTGATCTGTCATTTATACTTTAAATGTGAATTACTTTAATAAACAATCAATGTTTGTAAAACTAAGTCAATTACTATTTTGAACATAATTTTAGAATTCAGGATACTCTAAGGGGAAGATAAAGTGGGCATGGGAGCCTCAGTTGGGAGCTTTAGGTCAGAGGGTGCTAGAGAGATGAAAAGAGAAGTGAGGATGTACTAAAAGATGTAATTTTGCACAGGGATCTGATGGAAGAAAAAAAAGTGCCTCTGAAAACAATAATCTTCACTCCTTAATTTTATATGACGCCTAACTTCATACTCCATTTTGAAAATACTGACCACATTAAGCAGAACATCAGTTGGTCTCCAACTGTAAACAACCAATTAGAATAGCATTTATCAGACTTTCAACCAGTGTAGGTAAAAATCACCCTTCTAACTTTGGAGGGAAGCAGGAAATTCCTAGGAGAATGAGAGGTGTAAACTAGAACATATAAAGAAATATTAAAGAAAGCAGAATCACTGAGTCTGCTGAAGATTAAATAAGGAATATTCAGGATTATGAGGAGTTTGTAGGAAACTTTTTTAGAACTTCTCACAGTAATCTCCATCTTGGAACTAAAGGAAAGACATAACTAAGGAATACAAATCCATTTAGAAAGAATTTCTTGAAGGTAAAGATTTCACTAGAATGGATCATGGAGGGAAGCTTCCTGAAGGTCTTGACTGATGGCAATTATGCTTTGTGAACAGAGAAAAGAAATGTGAAACATGTCTACAAAAGTTTCAAGAAGAAAGAAAAATAGAAAAAATCTAAGAGGTAGAGCTATTAAATACCACCTCCAATATATGGGGTATAAGTTTTACTATATAATAATCTCCAATTTTAATAATTCAATGAAATGTGAGTGAAGCAAGACTATATCAAGGAAGAAATGCTTGCAAATCTAATTTTAAGATATAACTGAACCTCTTTTTTACACATGAATTTCAGTGAGGAATTACTAAATTTTACATAGTTGGTTTTCTGGTTATCTGTGATTAAAACTGTAACTATGTAAGAATATTTGTCTGAGAAAACACTGTACTGCTGAAACCTTAGAATTTTCAGACATTCATAATACTTTCAGGAACGATTTAACTAATAAAAACTTACATGACACCATCACTTCAGAATGAAAAGGAGGAAGGGGGGTTGCCTTACTCTATTCCAAATTTAACTTGACCAAAGGAATATAAAGTATATTATCAATAAAGAAAAATATTTTTAAAGTGACTTTTAAAAAAATGACGTTAAAATTAAGGAAATCAATATAAGACAAGCAGATGCTAAATGTCATTCTTCACTAGAACCAACCTTTTCTATAAAAGACTGCATTGAGGAACTCTTCTGCTTGTCTCTCGAATCGAATGATTTTTGCTTGCTCTTGTTTAAGCAGAGCTTCTTGCCCAGCTCCCGAAGCTGGTTCATCCAGACCGACTAAGTGTCCCTGTAAAAATATTTGGTGAAATATTTGCACAAAGATCTTTCCCCATTCAGTATCAAAAGCACAGATGCAAAATCAAAGACAAATGTTAGTAACAGAGAAGGCAAATCAGTTTAATACAATTAAAATATTTTAAAACTTCAAATCAGAATAAAAGTTATCGCCACAAAAAGCAAAGTGAATGTAAAAATACACTTCGGGTGGTTTTTATTTATCTTATGAATTATGTTTAAAATTTACAGATAAACTCTAATTAAGCTAATACTACTAAAGGAAAATTTTTCTTGAGCATTCAAGTATAATGGTTCTTATTACACTATATAGCAACAGTTCACACACAATTCAACTCAGACAAAAAGATACCTTAAACCCTAAATGTTATTTGAGAATGTTTCCTTTCCAAATTCAAGATGTTTTTTCCAGACACAAAACAAACATTTTTAAAAGGGCCATAAGTAGGGAAAACTCAAAGAGAAAGTTATCTAAATTTATAATTTTGTCCCTAGAATACTATTTTATAAACTATAGCTTTCAAATGTTTAGAGTTGTGAAATTAATAGGTTAAAACTGGCTCTAGAAAAAAGAATTTAAGAATAGAGTGCATCGCATGTTCTAAAGGTAAACATTTCTATTTATGCTTAAAAACGTTTACAATATAAAAATTTAAGTCCTGTTCAGAAAGTTTCAAAATGCTGAACTAGACTCATCCCAAACATTCCCAGAATCTGTTCTCAGACTGCAGGAGCACTAGACTAGGTTGTTAATGCTTTGTACTTATTTCCACTCTTGTAGCTAATAAACAGAAAACTATGATAATAGAAAATAAAAGTGTAAAAAAAAGCAAAGTACATGTTTAACGTGTTAAGTTCCAGCGCATATAATTTACTTCAAATCACTGCAATGTATCGCCATATGCATTTACTTATGTCATGGAAAACTTAAAAGTCCATTTCTAAATAAGAAAATGAGGACATGCCTTGACACAATGAAAAGGAAGTAATAAACAAGACACTGAAGAATGTTATAATCCACAATTTTCTTAAAGATTTCAAATACACCCAATGACATTTGCAACCAGCTTTTTATGATTCCCCCATCATCCAAAATGTGTTGACAGCACAACCAAAACAGTATTTTGCAAAGACACATTTAGCATCAATTATATATTACAAATAGTTTAATATGAAGAACTCTCTTGCATAATCAAACTAAAATAATCATCCCATATAACTTCTACATTAGACATATTAAGTCTGCCACATAAAGAAAATACTGTGTTATAAATCATTATGAAAACCTTTATTATAGTTGTATTTGCCAACATTCTCTTTTGTGGCCTGAAGAAATTAAGTAACTTTTTAAAATGAATCACAAAATAATGTAATTTTGATACAGATTTAATATCTAAAAGGTATTAGGAATAGGATATTAAAGAGTCCAATAAAATCCTCAACTATCATTTAGTGATTTTTAAAATGCGACATTACATGGTACGAACTGTACTTAACTCCCTAGTCTTACATTCAGTCAGTTCAGTCAGACTTTGAGCAGAATATCTGTATTTATTTTTCATGTTTAAGAAACACTTGTATCTTAGAGAAGATGTTAGTTGAAGGATGCATTGTACAGTGTAGTTTCAGTGAATGATTCTACATACACATTTACATAACTGTGTATTTTTTCCCCCAAGTTTTTATTTAAATTCCTGCTGGTTAATATACAGTGTAATATCAGGTGTAGAATTTAGTGATTCAACACTTACATACAACACCCGGTGCTCATCACAAAAATATGGAACGCTTCACGAATTTGTGTGTCACCCTTGCACAGGGTCCATGCTAATCTTCTCTGTATCATTCCAATTTCAGTATATGTGCTGCCGAAGCGAGCACAGAGCATCTATATTTCAACCATGTTTAATGTTGCATTCAGTCTACTGTCTTACTAAATCAACTCATAGCAACTAACATAGCATTCAGTAAGGGAGGTGCTACCTGTTTTTTCTTGAATTAAACAATTTTAACCAATTTTATCAACCTGGACTCTGAAACATACAGATAACTTTCAGTTGGCTCACATTAATTAGTCACACCTATTTGTTTTGTTTTTGAATAGTTTTACTAAGACATAATAGACATACCACATACCACACAAGTCACCCATTTGAAGTATAAAATTCAATGTTTTCTTTTTGGTAGGTTCACAGAAGTGTGGGACCATCACCATGATAAACTTTAGAACATTTTTGTACCCCAGAAGTAAATCCTGTACCCATTAACAGTCAGCTATTCCCCATTCTCCCATTTGCCCCAACCCTAGGCAACCACTGTTACCACTTTTTGTTTCTATGGACTTGCTTATTCTGGATATTTCGTATAAATGGAATTGTGCAATATTCGTGTGCGTGTGTGTGTGTGTGGGGGAGAGACTGACTTTTTCCTCCTGGAATAATGTTTTCAAGGTTCACCACGTTGCAGCATGTACCAGTACTTCCTTCCTTTTTAGTGCCAAACAATATTCCATTGTATGGATACAGCACATTTTATCCAATCATCAGTTATGACCATTTGGGTTTCCACTTTCTGGCTACTATGATACAAATAACGTTGCCTTTAATATTTGTGTGCAAGTTTTTGTGTGGATGTATATTTTCGTTTCTCCTGGATATATATTTAGGAGTGGAATTTCTGGATCATGTCTTATGTTTTACCATTCTGAGGAAGTACTAAACCATCTTCCAAAGCAGGTGCACCATTTCATATTCTGAACAGCAATGAGGGTTCTAACTTCTCCACATACTCATAAACACTTGTTATCTTTTTGATTACATCCATTCTAGTATACAAGAAGTGGTGCCTCATGGTTCAGATTTATATTTCCCTAATGACTACTGATGTTGAACATCTAATTGGTCATTTAAATACCTTCTTTGGAGAAATGTCTATTCATATGTTTTGCCTGGTGTATAACTGGGCTATCTACCTTTTTAATGTTGAGTTGTAAGAATTCTTGATATATTCTGGATGTAAGTCCATTATCAGACATAAGATTTGCAAATATTTTCCACCGTCAGTGAGCTTATCACTTCATTTATGCTACTACTGTTAGCAGTACAAAAGTTTTAAATTTTTTTTTTAAAAAGATTTTATTTATTTATTTATCTGACAGAGAGAGAGAGAGAGAGAGAGAGAGAGAGAGCACAAGCAGGGGGAGCAGCAGGCAGAGGGACAAGCAGGCTCCCCCTGATGCAGGACTCGATCCCAGGACCCCAGGATCATGACCTGAGTCGAAGGCAGACGCTTAACTAAGCCACCCAGGTGCCCCCAAAAGTTTTTAATTTTAATGAATTTTAATTTATCTAATTTTTTGGTCATTTGTGCTTTTGGTATTATATCTAAAAAACTAGTGGCTAATCCAAGGTCATAAAGATTTACTCCTATGTTTTCTTCTAAATGTTGTATAGTTTTAGAACTTCCTTTCAGGTATATGATCCATTTCAAATAAACTTTTGTGTATGGTATAAGAAGGGGTCCAACTTCCTTTGTCAAGAATCACTAGCCAGGGAGCTTTGTGCAGTGGCAGTATCGTAGCCAATGAGGTTTATCCGAGGCACGATTGTTGCTAATTGAAAGAATCACTAGCCCGGGGAGCCTGGGTGGCTCAGCTGGTTAAGTGTCTGCCTTCGGCTCATGTCATGATCCCAGGGTCCTGGGATCGAGTCCTGCATCAGCCTCCCTGCTCAGCAGGCAGTCTGCTTCTCCCTCTCCCCCTGCCTCTCCTCCTGGCTTGTGCTCTCTCTCACTCAACTCACTCCGTAATAAAGAAATAAAAAATCTTTGAAAAAAATGAATCACTAGCCATAAATTTACTTCTGGACACCCAATTCTATTCCATTGATCTACATTTCCCATCTGTAAGCCAGTAACACAGTTATGTTGATCACAGTAGTTTTGTAGTTAAGTTCTGAAATTGGGAAGTGTAAGTCCTCTCTTGTAGTTAAGTTCTGAAATTGGGAAGTGTAAGTTCTCTCTTCTTTTATAAGATTGTTTTGGCTATTCATGCATCTCTTGAATTTTCATATGAATTTTAAGATCAGATTCTCAATTTCTGCAAAGAAGGTAGTAGAGGTCTTGACAGAGAATGCACTGAATCTGCAGGCCATTCTGGGAAGCAATGCCATTTTTATAACATTAAGTATTCCAATTCATGAACATGAGATACCTTTCTGTTTATTTAGATCTTTAATTTATTTCAACAATTTCTTTAAATTTACAGTGTACAAGTTTTAAACATCTTAAAATTATTCCTAAGTATTTTATTCTTTTGGATGCTATTGTAAATGGAACTGTTTTCTTAATTTTCATGTTCAGATTTTTCATTGTTATTTGTCTAGAAATACAACCTTTTATTTTTTAAAAGATTTTATTTATTATTTATTCATGAGAGAGAGAGAGAGAGAGAAGCAAAGGGAGAAGCAGGCTCTTTCCTGAGCAAGAAGCCCAATGCAGGACTCGATCCCAGGACCCTAGGGTTGTGATCTGAGCTGAGGGGAGACGCTTAACCGACTGAGCCGCTCAGGCGCCCCCATTTTTTTTAAATGCTGTATTCTACAACCTTGCTGAACTTGTTAACTCTAACAGTGTTCTGTAGATTCTTTAGGATTTTCCATATACGACATCATGTCATCTACAAATAGACACTTTTTGTAATCTGGGTAACTGGTTTCTTTTTTTACTAATTGCCAAGGCTAGTGCCTCAGGTACAATACACAGAAATGAGAGTGGACAACCTTGTCTTGTCCCTAATTCTAGGGGGAAAAATGTTCAACTTCCCACCACAGATATGTACTTTCGTGAGTTAGGCTAAGGAATTTCTCTTCTATTCCTAGTGTGTTGCATGTTTTTATCATGAAAAGGTGCTGAATTTGGTCAAACACTTTGGGGGGGGGCATCCATTGTGATGATCATGTGGTTCCTATCACTTATTCCATTAATGCACTGTAT